GCATGAGATGTTTGCTATGTTCTAAACCTTAATCTAGATGTTGATTACATGGTCAGGTTCACTTTGTAAAAACTCATTGAGCTATACAACTATGATTTATGCACTTTTCTATATATATACCATATTTCTTTTTCTTTTTTTCTGAGACAGAGTCTCACTCTGTTGCCTGGGCTAGAGTGCTGTGGCGTCAGCCTAGCTCACAGGAACCTCAAACTCCTGGGCTCAAGCAATCCTCCTGCCTCAGCCTCCTGAGTAGCTGGGACTACAGGCGTGTGCCACCATGCTTGGCTAATTTTTTCTATATATTTTTAGTTGTCCGATTAATTTCTATTTTTTTAGTAGAGACGGGGTCTCGCTCTTGCTCAGGCTGGTCTCGAACTCCTGACCTCGAGCAATCCTCCCACCTCAGCCTCCCAGAGTGCTAGGATTACAGGCGTGAGCCACCACGCCTGGCCCACTTTTCTGTATATATACCATATTTCAATAAAAAGGTATCAAAAAATTTCTTTAAAAGCTGGTTTTTAGCCTCCCAGCAATTTCCGTAGCAAATCAAATCACTACTCACTACTTGTCCATGGTGTGCCTAAAACTGTGGGTTTGATTCATTTATCCATTCATCCATGCACGAAATAGATATTAGGTGTCTGCTATGTCCCAGGCATTATGCTAGGTACTAATACACTGGTGAGTGAAAAAGAGGTCCTCAAGTCCTATGACATAGAGGAAAGAGTCATTAATTAAATAGTCATATACATAAATATAAAATTACAACTGTGTTAAAGGGTTATGATGAATTAAGGGTTAGTAGGCTAAACGCAGTGGCTCATGCCTGTAATCCTAGCACTTTGAGAGGCTGAAGCAGGAGGACTGCATAAGGCCAGGAGTTTGAGACCAGACTGGGCAACATAGGGAGACCTGTCTCTACAAAAAATTTAAAAATCAGCTTGGTATGGTGGCACATTCCTGCAGTCCCAGCTATTCAGGAGGCTAAGGTGGGAAGATCGCTTACACCTGTAAGTTTAAGATTACAGTGAGCTATGAGCACTGCACTCCAGCCTAGGCAACAAAGCAAGACCCTGTCTCTTAGAAGAAAAAAAAGGCAAGGAGAGGTTAGTAGCTCTGGGTCTAAAACTTTGAAACTTAACATGGTCCTACTGTAGCATCTAACGTGGGCCTCTGACTCCAGAGGGTCAAGGTTTCTCTGAGGAAACGGTGATTGAGTTGAGATCTGAAGAATGAGTAAAATTACTTAGATGAAGAAGACTTCTAGATTGAAGGAACAATATATGCAAAGATCCTGAGGTGAGAGCACTACATGTCTGCTGACGTGGAAGAAGGGTGGTGTGGTGGCAGCATAGAGAGCAAAGTGGAGCACCTCGGTCCCACAGGCTAGAGAGGGAGGCACGGCCGGATTATACTGGCTTTGTAGGCTATGTAAAGGACTGTGGCTTTTACCCTAGGAGCAAAGGGAGGACACTGAATAGTTTTAATTAAGAAAGGAGATAACATGACTGGATTTACATTTTCTAAAATCTCACATTGAAATGGGGAGAAGTGATTCAGGAGAGGAAAGACTGGATACAGGAAAACCAGTTAGGAGGCTACTAAAGTTGTCTAGGCAAAAGATGACTCTTTCTTAATCTAAAAAGATGATTCTTTCTTTATCTGAAAAAAAAAAGTGGAAATGAGAATTGAATGAACTTGAGAGATATTTAGGAGTGTAAAACTGATAGAACTTAGTAATAGAGCTTGAATACAGTAAGTAAAAGAGGAATCTTTTAAAGATTACTCAGGTATCTGGCTTGCACAATTAGATGAAGAGGGAATATTGAAAGATGATCAAATTTGGTGGGAGGAGGTGAGAAGGGGAGAAATTATGGGTTCAGTTTTGGACATGTTGTGTTTGAGATACCTTTGAGATATGTAAATGGCAGTCAAAGTGGCAGTTAAGATACAGCTGGCCCTCCATATGTGTGGGTTCTGTATTTGTGGATTCAACCAACCGAGGACTGAAAATATTTGGGGAAAAAAAATGAGTGTCTCTATCTGTACTGAACATGTACAGATTTTTTTCTTGTCATTATTCCCTAAACAATACAGTATAACAATTATTTACCTAGCACTTACATTGTATTAGGTATTATAAGTAATCCTGAGATGATTTAAAGTATATGGGAGGATGTGTGTAGGTTATATGCAAATACTATGCCCTTTTATATAAGAACTTGAGCATCCACAGATTTTGGTATCTGAGGTGGGGGGTTTCAGAATCAATTCCCCAAGGATACTGAGAAATGATTATATCTCAGTCCAGAGCTTAGAGGAGAAGTCTGGAATAGACATATAAATTTCTTCTCAGCTGGCAGTTTAGGCTTAAAATAATTTTTAAAAAAGGTATAAATTTCTGAGTTGCCTGAGAATAAATAGTAAGCTATGGTTACAGGTGAAATCACCTGGGAGAGAAAAGAAGACCTCGGATTGAATCTTGAGGAATTCCAACATCCAATGGATTGCTAGAAGTGGATGAACCTGTATAGGAGACTAAGAAAGAATAACCACAGAGAAAGGAAAAAAAATATGAGAATGTGATGTCACAGAAGCAAAAGAAGGAGAGGGTGTTAAGAATAAGAAAGTCATCGGCAGTGCTGGGTAGTATCAGAACACAGAGTTGTGCAGCAGAAGGGTCGTGGGTCCACAATAGTGCTAAGAGTTTGAGTTAAATAAAGACTTTTTTTTTTTTTTTTTGAGACAGAGTCTCACTATTTTGCCCGGGATAGAGTGAGTGCCGTGGCGTCATCCTAGCTCACAGCAACCTCAAACTCCCGGGTTCAAGCGATCCTTCTGCCTCAGCCTCCCGAGTAGCTGGGACTACAGGCATGCGCCACCATGCCCGGCTAATTATTTCTATATATTTTTAGTTGTCCGGCTAATTTCTTTCTATTTTTAGTAGAGACGGGGTCTCACTCTTGCTCAGGCTGGTTTTGAACTCCTGAGCTCAAACAATCCGCTTGCCTTGGCCTCCCAGAGAGCTAGGATTACAGGTGTGAGCCACCGCGCCTGGCCAAATAAAGACTTTTAAAAGCTGTTGGATTTAGTAACAGTACTAATCCTGACAAGAGCTGCTTCAGTGGTGTGATAGGGGTGAAAGCCATATTAGAGGGAATATGGAATGAGCAGGAGATGCTGTGGTGGTTATAAACAATTCTATCACCATTCTAAGTTAAGAGTTTAGTTTAAGAAAGCAAAACTTATACAGAGATTACAAAAAAATAGATACAATGCTACAAAGTTTTACTAATTCTTTGAATGCTACAGAAATCCAAGAAAGGAAGGCTCTAAGTGGCTGGGTAACCCATGAAGTCTTTATAGAGAAGGAAAAATCTCAAACAGAGGATTTAAGGAAGTGCAAAATTGAGTGACTGAAAAATGCTCATGTATTCTTCTCATGTAATTTCCATTTCCATTATGTGAGAAGAATACACAGTTGCGGAGGTTGGAAGTGGGACTGGGTGGGAACGTTAAAAATAAACCAAGAGATATGGACATAGTCCTCTATTTTGTAATACAGGCTCAACACTGAATTACTAATATTTAGGACTGGATAATCTGTGTCCTAGTCTCTCCTCCTTTTTGCTGCCAACCTGTGGGCCAAACAATTATAGTGGAGGGTTGGTAGGGAAAAGAGAGAGTAAGAATCATAAATCAGTTGTTTTGCTTGCTGGTTTTGGATGATATTGTATGAGAGGTGGGTATGAGTAAAATCAATAGCTAAAATGTAATTTTATATTATTTGTGATTTTGAGGCAGTCTGACAGAGTGGAAGAGAACACAGACTTTAGAACTGGAGTGAATCAGGTCTGAATACTAACTCTGTCTCCTACTACCTACATAGCACCGGAAATGCAATCAATCTCTCTGCACCCCAGTTTTTCATTTATAAAATGGGGGAAACAATAAATTTCTTGGCAAAGTTATTTCTGGTTTAAAGATGCAATGGTAGTGCTTGACTCATAGGAATCTACTAAATGGTGGCTAATATAGTTTTATTAATACTATAATATAAAACAGGAAATATATTCGAACAGATAACTTTGTATACCTAAGATGGGGATGTTGTATTTACTGGTGAGCCCTAATTTACATTTAGGTATTTATCTACAAGAAAGTGGAAAGCATCAGATAGCAAAGTTTAGTGTTTGGACTTATTTTGAAATAAACATATTTGTCTCACAGACTTTTACAACTAACGATATTAAACATATAACTATTCAATAAATATTGTAAAAGTCAAAATATATTCTTTCTTTGTATTATGGCTAATTTTGTAAAGGAGAAAAAAAGAAACAAAATAAGAGAAAAAAGGGAAAAAGTAAACCAGAAAAATAAAACAAGCACTAAAGTTAAGAGTGAGAAAAGAACAGAGGACAAGAATGTCTAAAGAGATCAGAGAGACAGACACAAGACAGACAGACAGAGAAGAGACAGTCAGGTGAGAGCTGTGACGGACAACCTGTCACATCTCCACATCCTCTATAGCCCTTCCTTCACTATTCCTTTCTGATGGCCTAAACCAAAGTACTCTAAGCCTCTTCCTTTGCCTGTTCAGGCCACTGCTACCATCTCTCCCAGCAAGCTTTGCCTCCCAGGAGTCTCCTAACCAGTATGTAACTTGAAAATAGAGCTGGTATTGCTGCACAGTGCCCCAGGCCACTTTCTCTCAGTTATTAAAAACAAAACAAAACAAAAAACATCCATAATTGCCTCTGTTAAACTACAGACACCTTGTGACAGAAATGAGGAAGTATATTTATAGAACACTGGGATTTTCTTTGGGAATGCTTTTTTAAGAGGTATCTTTGAAAAACTTTATCATCTTAAGAGATAAAAAGAGTGATGGATATAACTTAAGAAAATATGCCAAAGGCTAAGGGAAATTAAACCAAGGGAAAAATCTAGACTCTGAGATAACTAACCCCGATTTATTTAGTATCTCTTCTTACTGTGTGCTGAGGGCCATCTCCATTATCTCTCATGTAGAAAGGCTTGAGTGCCAACGGATAATTAATGATGAAGACTGGTATGTTGCCACAGTGCTTCAACAGGTACTTTTCATGTTCAGTTTGTAGATCAATACCCCACTGTAATGAGAAAAAAAAAATGACCAAAGGAGAAGACAGAGCTGAAACATACAATTAAAAACCTGAAAATAGGTTAGGCAAGGTGGCTCACACTTATAATCCTAGCACTCTGGGAGAGCGGGGTGGGAGGATCACTTGAGGTCCCTGACCAGCCTGAGCAAGATCAAGACCCCATCTCTACAAAAATAGAAAAAATTAGCCAGGCATGGTGGCGCACACCTGTAGTCCCAGCTACTCACGAGGCTGAGGCAGGAGGATCAACTGAGCCAGGAGTTCGAGGTTGCAGTGAGCTATGATCATGCTGCTCCACTCTAGCCAGAGTGACAGAGAGCGCCTCTGTCTCAAAAAACAAAAACAAACCTGAAAATAACCTACATCAGTTCCAAAGACTTCTTTTCCCTGAGGCTCAGTGATGTGTGGAGCTGTCTGCTGAGGTGACACAGCTGACTAAACTAAGGAGAAACATTTGTTAACAAAACAGCCCAAGGCCTGGAAAGATGAAAGCTAAAGCCAACAGATAAACATTGTTTCTGTCCCCCGTCTCAGGGAGCAGCATTCAGCAGACGAATAGCACCTGCAGGAAAACAAAGTACATTTTCCAAGGGGATAAAAAGTGACTTCAGAATCACAGTTTTTATTAATATTGCCTATAGTTTCTTCCACAGTTACTATTCCTAGGTCTCAGGAAATTAAATGACAGAAGATAATATTCCTACTATTGAGCCTGTCTTTGGCTAGATGGCTTGTCTTGGTGAATTTTTTTAAAAAATAGAGTCAACTCATATATCAGATGCTCTTTGATGAATATTTAATAATATTGTTCAATCTATTTGTTTGGCAAATAACTATTAAATTCAAAGTACCATGCTAGATACTGGATATAATGGTGAGAAAAACAGTTATAATCGCTGACTTCATGAAGCTTCCAGGGTAGAAGACAAACATTAAAAATTACAAAAAGAGTTAACTGATTATAAATGAGCACTGGTTACTATTATACCTTATAAGAGGATCTGACTTTAACTGGGGACTGGATTGGTATAAGGAATAGTTTGAAGACAAAGGTATTATATTCTTAATATCTTATTACTCCCACTTATCTGGCAATATCCTAACTACAGAAGAAAGGACTGGAATAGAAATGAGGAGCCCTGCCTCTAACATTATACGCATGCCCACTGATAAATCATGTGGACTCACCGGACCTACATCCTTGCCAACAAAATAAAGGACTTCCTTCACAGAAACAGGGAGTAGTACAGTGGTTGCCAGGGGCTGGGGAGTGGGGGAAATGAGGAGATAGATAAAAGAGTATGAACTTTAGTTATAAAATGAATGAACAAGTTTTGGGGATCTTAAGTTCACTGTAGGTGTTGACAGATGTGTTAATTATTTGATTGTGATAATAATCATTACACAATGTTATGCATATCAAATCATCAAGTAAATATTAAAAATGTACAATTTGTCAATTAAATATTTTAAAATTAAAAAAAAAAAAAAAAGGACTTCTTGGTCAGACACAGTGGCATGTGCCTGTAGTTCCAGATACTTGGGAGGCTAATGTGGGAGGATCACTTGAGCCCAGGAGTTCAAGTCCAGCCTGGGCAACGAAGTAACACCGCTGACTCTTTAAAAAAAGAAACAAAAGCAGTAGCCTTAAAAAAAAAAAAAAAAAAAAAAATCAGTGTTTTCCAAAGTGGCTCATAAACCAAAAGGCTCTATAAAGTTCAACTAAAAAAAAAATCTTTTAAATATGTTGCCTAAACTTATTTGATCACATAACCTCTTTTGTTTGTCACCTTTTAACATTATTACTCTGAATATACTTTGGGAAACACTGGACTAGTTGATTTCTACAGTAATATTCTGTGATTACCATTCTTTTTTAGATTTTTCATCTTGCTAAACTTGGGAGACTCCTTTATAATCCTTTAATCACTGCTATTCTAAATGATACAATTCTATTAATATTTCAAAATTAGTTTTCATTTTAAGTATTTGAACAAGGTCGAGCAAACATCAAACAAAGGCTTGTACACGTGAGCAAACGCCATATGCTAATAAGAGAAATAAGATTATTTTGAAGCATTCTTAATAAAATAAGCTAAGGACAAGGACAAGAGGGAAACATTTTCTCTCTCACACACACACAGACACACACACAAAATACTACCTCTGGGGTGAAGGTAAAGTTCTGGGATGCTTGCTTTAAGATCTCCACTGCTTCGGTATAAGAAATGCTGGAAGGAAACAGGGTAAAAGCAGAGAACGGTCAATATCATGGGCTGCTGTTAACTAGTCCATCTTAAAACTAGAAAAAGTCTGTTCCCATACAGTCTGCGAGGTCATAAAGGAGTACTGAGTAGTCAGAAATTAAGGCTGATCTAATCCTATGAAAGTCTGATCTGCATGAAAAGAAGTGGCTATTCAATAACCCCACTCCTGATCTACGTGCAGCATACACAAAGGAGCTAGTCACTTAAGTAGGGATTTTCTCCGAATTCATGCTGTGCCAATGCCCTAAATAAAAGGTATGAAATACCGAGGCTGAAAGAGCAAAAGACTTTCCTAAAAGTCATCATTCATTCATTCATTTATCCAAGCAACATATATTTGGCACTTACTAGGTGTAGGTGCTAGGCACTATTCTAGACACTGGAGATACAGTAAACAAAAATAAAGCCCCAGTGTTCGTGGAGCCAATATTTGCGCACGTGCGTGTGTGTGTGTGTGTGTGTGTGTGTGTGTGTGTGTGAGAGAGAGAGAGAGAGAGAGAGAGAGAGTGTGATGAGGGGGTAGGGAGAGGGGAGACAGATAAACAAACAGGTAGTGCTATGAAGAAAACTAAAGCAGTAAGAAGACAGAGGGTGTTTGGGGGTGCCATTATAGATAAAGAAAGGCCTCACCAAATCGGTGACATTGGAACAGAAACCTCCATCAAGTAAGGAAATGAATCATACAGATATCTTGGGAAGAGTATGTAGGTGAAAGGAGCAGTAAGTACAAGGACTCAAAGTGAGGAACAGTTTGCCTTGTCTAAGGAACAAAAAGGTCAGTGCGACTGGAACATATTTAACAATGGGAAGAATGCCAGGAAATAACATAGGAAAGGCAGTCAGAAGTCAGATCATATGGACTTTTTCAGGCCACAGTTTGGGCCTGGTAATGTATTCTAAGCATTGTAAGACTGTTCAGGAAAAATATTTTTGGTTTTCTCAGTAAGATACCCTCACTTCCAAAGGAAGCCAAACCAAGGACTTGCTTTAACTGTGTGAATAGATAATATATCCATATAGTTTAAAAGAAAAAATCAAGACGTATCAAAGAGTATACATCTCCTTTCCATCCTGGTTTCACAGCCACCCAGTTCAGTTCCTCTCCTTTCACATAATCACTGTTGTTGGTTTCTTGAGTATGCTTCCAGAGGAATGAATATACATATATATGTAAGCAAATATTAATATACAACCTCCCTTTTTTGATAGATGTCAGCGATAGCATACATGCTATACATACTCTTTTATACCTTATTTTACTCAATAATGCACATTTCAGATCTTTCTATGAATATATGAAGAACTCCATTTTTTTTGTATTACATAATGTTCCATTTTGTGGATGTGTCACAATTAATTTAACCAGTGATCTAATGATGGATATTTCACGTTTCTAATCTTCTGGAATTACAAATCAAGGCTACAAGCCTGGGTGCAGTAGCACTCTGGGAGGTTGAGGCAGGAGGATAGCCTGAGCTCAGGAGTTTGAGACCATCCTGAGCAAGAGCGAGACTCCGTCTCTACTAAAAATAGAAAAAATTAGCTGGGTTGGTGGTGCCTGTCAATAGTCCCAGCTACGTAGGAGGCTGAGGCAGGAGGATCACTGGAATTTGGAGGATCACCAGGAATTTGAGGTTGCTGTGAGCTAGGCTGACGCCACGGCACTTGCCTGGGAAACAAGAGTGAGACTCTCTCAAAAAAAGACTATATATTCCTAATTAATGCTATTACAAATAATTCTTATACACTAATTTTATACATGGAAAAAGTGAAATTGTTGGATCAAAATGTGTCACCTTTATATTTTCTGAAAGATTTTGCCAAAGATATTGCTCCTTTTTTATAGGGTTATACCAATTTATGCCTAATGGTAACATATGAAAGTGTTAGTTTCCTTGCAAACTGCAGGGAAAATACTGCGACAGTATTTTGAATGATTAAAAACAATGCACAAACTTTCTGAAGGACCTTGAGCTCAAAAAATAACTTACCTAGCACAAACTTATTCTCTGAAGCAAAAGTGAATTTCATGCCTACAATAACTAGAAAAGAGTTGTATTGTATCTTACAGTACAAATAAAGTCCCCAAACCAATGTTTTGAATGATAGGTTTTTTCAAAGATGAAAATTCTATTCAAATTAAAATCTAGTATTAAATAACAAGTTATTTCTAAGGTAATGGTGGCGGTGTTGCTGGTGGTGGTATTGGTAATAGTCATAATAATAATTTCAAAATTAGCATAATAAAGATGGGAAACTGAAGCTTAGAGAGAATCAATAACTTTTCAAAGATCACTCATATAAGTAAGCACTAACCCCTGATCTGCTGACTACAGAGTAAGCTTTTAACTGCTAAGATAATGCCTAAAACAACTGGAGTTTCATACAGTTAATCAAAACAAAAAATAATGGCCTCTGGGTTCTTCCTCTGACTCTACCACTTACTAGCTATGTAAGTCACTTCAACCCAGCATGTTATTAATTTTTATGATGTGTTATATACAAATGTAAAAATTAAGCCTCTGCACTTGTAAAATAAGGAGATTGGACTATCTTGTCTAATAGTAATTTTCTGTGCAGACATTCTATTGTTCTATTATATCAATTACTTGGTATAATCTACCAATTACACTGAGAAATATAAGAACAGTCAAAATAGGAAGCAGTAGGATTTTGTACCATTGTACCACTGTTATGTTACTGTGTTCTTATTAAGAAGAAATGACTCGCGGCCGGGCGCGGTGGCTCACGCCTGTAATCCTACCTCTCTGGGAGGCCGAGGAGGGCGGATTGTTTGAGCTCAGGAGTTCGAAACCAGCCTGAGCAAGAGCGAGACCCCGCCTTTACTAAAATTAGAGAGAAATTAATCGGCCAACTAAAAATGTATAGAAAAAATTAGCCGGGCATGGTGGCGCATGCCTGTAGTCCCAGCTACTCGGGAGGCTGGGCCAGTAGGATCATTTGAGCCCAGGAGTTTGAGGTTGCTATGAGCTAGGCTGACGCCACGGCACTCACTCTAGCCAGGGCAACAGAGTGAGACTGTCTCAAAAAAAAAAAAAAAAAAAGAAGAAATGACTCTCATGTGTAAATAACTCTTTTTATTACAGATCTTCCACCTCACTGCCCTCACATCTTAATTTGAAGTAGAGCTTTCAAGTTCAAATTACAGTTTTTGCACGGGATATCATTAGCGGCTTTCAACAACTCCCTCTACTAAGTATTTTTCTTGATATGTATAGAGAATAATATTTCTTCTCCTTTCCAGAAACTGTTTCCAAAGTGCTTTGAGGAAAGGAGGAAAAAACATTGGGATATAGCATGGTACGGCATCAAACTACCTTCTTGTTTCAAATTTTTCATTGTCGAATAAAGAAAATTCATTATTCTCAAGCTCTTGGAGTAAAATTGCTAAACTAAAGAGATCATTACTGTTACTCTTTCCTTCAAATTCACCCAGATAAAGGAAGAGCAAATAAAGAAGGTAAGTGCTCTATATTTTCAAAACCTTAATACTATAAAGGAACTATAAAATAACTGAATTCCATTTCTGCTTGATAAAGGCTAAATTCAATTACTACACAAGTTTCTTAAACAGTATATTTTCATATAAAACACTTTTAACAACACTTTAGAATATACCAAAATCTATTTATTCAAAAAAATACAAGTCATGTGGTGCCTCTATACGGATGGATTCACTAATTAATAGTTCAGTCTGCATAAAGGACAAGAGTTTCTTTGTTTTGCTATCTCCCTGTCTATTCTATTAGCTTTACTTTTTTAAGGATTATCTTAAAGGTAGATTCAGCCGCATCTCTATTTTCAGGCATTTCAGAGTCAATGCCTTAAAGAGTGTGAAGCAGCAGAAGGGTGATGACAAGGTCCTAGAGTGGGCACCACTACACAAATCATTTCTCAACTTTATTACCTCTGATGATATTAATTTAATAATCATCATTACCCCACTGTCACCATCCCACTATGCTTTTAGTGGCTACCCTTAGCATTTCATTTTTTAAATTTAAAACAATTTTTAATTTATTTTACTTATTTTTTTATAGATGGGGTCTCACTCTGTCACCCAGGCTGGAGTGCAATGGCATGATCATAGCTCACTGTAGCCTCCAACTCCTGGGCTCAAGTGATCCTTCCACCTCAGCTTCCTGAGTAGCTAGGCCTGGCTAATTTTTATAGAAGGAGTCCTGCTATTTTGCCCACGCTGGTCTTGAGCTCCTGACTTCAAACAATCCTCCTGCCTCAGCCTTGCCAGTGGCTAGCATTACACGTATGAGCCACCATGCTCAGCATCTTCTTATTGATCTTTTTTTTTAATTTTCTTCTTCTTTCTTTTTTTTTTTTTTAGAGATGGGATATTGCTATGTTGCCCAGGCTAGATCTGAACTGCTGGGCTCAAGCATTCCTCCTGCCACAACATCCCAGTAGCTGGGATTATAGGCATATCCTTAACACTTTAACATGCAGGTCTGATTTAACAAATCTAATCAGTATCCCTCCCTTCCTTTCTAACAACACAAGGACTGATGTACTTCAACTACGAACAATACCGCTTCGATTTTACATGTAATTGCTGCCCAGTATTTTAGTTCTAAGGTAACTTATTTTCTTTCAATGATGTTAAGATATTATCATTCTATTGTCATTATTGTTATTTGAACTTCCTGAGGATCTGATTTATTGCGTCTGCTGTTCTTGCCTATGGTAGGTTGTTTCCCCAGGTGTTTCAGAGTTTGGACTGTGAGATTATCTTCAGCAGTTCGTTTTGAGAATATCATGCCACCTGGGGTGAGGGTGTAAACCTCAAGATTGGTTCTGTATTTGCTTCTACAGGTACTCCAGGTTATCTCCAACCCAAGACAACTTTTTATTTTAACATCCTGGCGTGAGGATTCTTGGACTACACAGGAACTATAAATTCAAACTCTAGGTTCACTTAAGGGCAGACTGTGGCTGCAAATTCTCAATGCAGACTATTTTTTTGCCTCTACCCTTAAGCTCATGTCAAAGCACATACAATTCTTTATAAAGTCCCTACGATGGCTAGCTGAATTTTCTGTTTGTTTCCTTGTTTTCTAGTTGGCTTTTTCATTAATGGTGTGGTCCTCGGACAGTTCTAGCTTTGGGTGTATGTGTATTTCTGGGGATGTCTCAATTCTAATTCACTATGCTTAAGTCTACTCTTATGTCCTCTCAAGGGTTTCAAAATCTCTAGTTTCAAACACTGGAAAACCACCCTCCATCCTCCCTACCCTCTACCTTGAGAATCTTCAGCATCATGTCAATTATGCACATCATTCTGGTACTTGGTTTCTTCTTCAATTCTAGCACCTGGAACATCTCTTACTTTCTAGTGAACTCAACGATGCATTAAAGGATTTTATAAAATTTTAACTATCATTTTTAGATGTTTTATAGCAAGAGTGTTTTCAAGTTATCTAGTTTGACATATTGCTTGAAAGAGCATGGTCATTTGATCCTTTCAACAATATAAGACAGAGGAGGTATTTTTTTATAGATGAGGAAACAGGAGTTAAAAGATAAAAATTTACTATCAATCAAGTTCATAGTTGTAATTAAGTAATTATTCATGTAAATATTTAACTGTTCATCTTTTTCTCTAGATTTTAAATTCCATAAATGGATGAATCAATGTCTGTTTTCACTACTGAATTCTCAATAACTAGCACAGTACCTAACTCACAGTAGGAAGTCAGTAAATATTGTTGAAAAATATTAATTTGGCTGGGCGCAGTGGTTCACGGAGGCCAAGGTGGGAGGATCACTTGAGGCCAGGAGTTTGAGACCAGCCGGAGCAACATAGCAAGACCCTATCTCTACAAAAAATAGAAAAATTAGCTGGGCATGGTGGCAAGTGCCTATAGTCCCAGCTACTCAGGAGGCTGAGGCAGGAAGACAGCTTGAGCCTAACAGCTTGAGGCTGCTGTGAGCTATGATGATGATGATGATGCCAGCACACTCTAGCCTGGGCAACAGAATGAGACCCTTTCTCAAAAAAAAAAAAAAAGAAAAAAGAAAGGAAAAAAAAAGAAAAATACTAATTCATTCATTAATGGCTAGTAAATGGTAGAGCAAGATTAGCATCCAGGTCCTCTGAATCACAGTCCACTACACTCAGTGAATAAAGTAAATAGTGATATGAGTCAATAAGAAATCTGACAGAGAGGACCCAGCCTGAAGAGGAATCTTTACCGCCATAGCTACTCAAAAATCATTTATTAATTCACTCAGTTATTCACTAAATATTAATAGTAGGCAATTTAAATACAACCCCTGACCTCACAAAGGTCTAATAATAGACTAAACAATCACACATAGAAATTTATTTAAAATTTAAAAATTTTTTAATTGACAAAACTGTATATATTTATGGTTTATAATGTGATGTTTTGATATATGTATACATTGTGGAATGATTATATCAAGGTAATTAACATATTCATCACCTTACATACTTACCAAGGCTTTTTTATTGAGAATATTTAAAATCTACTCTTTTAACTATTTTGAAATATATATTATTATTAACCATGGTCACCTTGTTATGCAATAAATCTTGAAAACTTATTATTCCTCGCCAACTGATATACTATACCCCCAAGTCAAGTTCTCCCCAACCCCCTTCCACTCCCCCAGCCTCTGGTAACCACCATTCTCTTTTCTACTTTTATAAATCTGACCTTTTTAGATTCTACATACAAATGAAATCACGAGGAATTTGTCTTTCTGTGCCTGACTTATTTTACTTAGCATAATGTCCTCCAGATTTATCCACATTTTTACAACAACACTTAAGCTGATTCCCTATCCTGGTTACTGTGAATAATGCTGCAATGAACATGGGAGTACAGATATTTCTTTGACATATTGATTTCAAATTCTTTTGGATATATAACCAGAGGTGGGATTGCTGGGTCATACACCTCCATACTGTTCTCCACAATGGCTACACTAATTCACATTCCCACTAACAGTGTACCAAGGTTCTGAAACTCCACATCCTTGTCAATACTTGTTATCTTTTGACTTTTTGATAACTGACATTCTAACAGGTGTGGGGTGATATCTCATTTTGGTTTTAATTTGAGTTTTCCTGATGATTAGTGATGTTGAACATTTTTTCTTATACTCATTGGCCAGTTGTATCTTACACAAATGTAAAACATCTGTGATGAGTGTCTGTCTGCCTGGGTGGAGCCTTGAGATGGGCTCTGAGGCTGGGTGGGGTGGCTGGCCTATAGGAACTCAAGCCAGTTAGAACTTCCCACTGAGCTTCTGCAGCAACTAGCTGGGCTTTGTGAGTGGGCTATGCCATTGGCTGGTATCTCTGCTCTTGGCTGGTATCTCTGACTGGGCACCACTGCTGGCAAGAACACAGAGCTACCACCAAGATCTGGCTGCTATGAGGCCTGTCCCCTTTCTTTGTTCTTTCCTGACCCCAGGAGGTCTAGCCTTGACCTTACCCCCTAGGGCTCCCCATGAGCGAGACAGGAGTGGGCCTCCTGGGAAGCGTCCCAGAATGCTGGGGAAGCAGGATAGCTGTCTCTGGCTCTCTTTGCCCACTGTAGAAACCTTGGGCCCAGGGGAATCCTCTTTGTGTGGCACTGTGTTGACTTGGGGGAGGGGGAGAGGTACTCAAAATGAGACCAATTCCTCTTACCCTACTAATCCACTTTTTTTGTTCTGTGGTCCATGTGGGTGTCTCAGTTTTATTCCCAAGTTCTGAGATTTTCATAAAGGTGTGCTTGTCTTGTTGATAGTTGCTAATTGGATTTTCTGGGGGGGGGGGTGGAGTGAAGCCTAGAACCTCCTATTCACCATCTTGCTGATGTCACTCTCCCCATAAATTTAAACAATAACTATGATTTGTGTTATGCAGAATGAATCATCATGATGACAATGATTGAAATGGCACAGACCACGAGGTCATTTCCCAACCACAGTATTTTATAAACAAGGACTCTGAAGTATAAGAGTTAAGTGATACATAAAGGTCGTAAGGATCCTCGGGGACCCACAACTACTCTATCATTAATTTCTGGTACCCTGTCGAATATATAAAGTGGTTAAAAGCATAGGCTCTGAAATCAGATGAATATGAGCTTGAGTCCCCATTTTATCTTTTACTCTTCTAATCTCTTTGTGCTGCTTCTCCACCTACAAAATGGGAATAAGAACCACTCAGAGTTGTCAAGATAAAATGAATTACTAATTTATGTAAAGTTTATCATTGTCTAGCTTATAGTAAATATCTTATTCTTTATATAGGAGTTGGATAATGAAGATCTTCTCCTTGTTTTTTAATCACCAGCACAGATTCCTTGGGAGGCCCAAGTTACTTCTTTCCTCATCTACTTTATTCCTACTTTTATCAATATGCTCATGCTCGGAACTCTCTTGTAAATTCCAGACCCATATTTTCAACTGCCTACTCAACATCTACAATTGGATGTCTGAAAAGCATCTTAATATGTCTGGGTTCCTGATATCACCCCCTTCACTCCCAAACCTCCCCCCACTACCTTTTTTTTTTTTTTTTTTGGAGACAGAGTCTCACTCTGTTGCCTGGGCTAGAGTGCCGTGGCATCAGCCCAGCTCACAGCAACCTCAAACTCCTGGGCTCAAGTAATCCTTCTGCCTCAGCCTCCTGAGTAGTTGGGACTTCACGCATGTACCAACATGCTCGGCTAATTTTTTCGGTATATTTTTAGTTGTCCGGCTAATTTCTTTCTATTTTTAGTAGAGACGGGGTCTCACTCTTGCTCAGGCTGGTCTTGAACTCCTGACCTTGAGCGATCCTCCCGCCTCAGTCTCCCAGAGTGCCAGGATTACAGGCATGAGCCACTGCGCCCGGCCCCCTCCACTACTCATAGCTTTCCCAATTTCATTTAATGGCAACTCCATTTTTGCAGCTGTATGAGATAAAAAGCTTAAAGTTACCCTTGACTCCTTTCTCTGTCTCTTTCTTTCTCACCCTCAGTAAATCCTGTTTGCTCGATCTTTAAAATATATCCAGAATAGGACAACTCTCACCACCATCTTAGTCTGTGATGATTAATTTTATGTGTCAATTTGGCTGGGCCATGGTCTCCAGGTATTTGGTCAAATATTATACTGAATGTTTCTTGAAGGTGTTTTTTGGATAAGATTAATGTTTACATCATTGCACTTTGAATAAAGTAGATTACCCTCCATAATGTGGGTGGACCTAATCCAATCATTTGGAGGCTTTACTAGAACAAAGACTGACCTCCTCCTGAGAAAGAAGGAATTATGCCAGGAGGCTGCCTTTGGACTGAACTGCAAACTCTTGCCCGAGTTTCTAGTCTGTCAGCTTACAGCATCAGATTTGGAACTCATCAAGCCTCTGCAATGCTGTGAACCAATTCCTTAAATAAATTCCCCCTGCCCCCGGAATCCTGACTAATACTTGGCCCAAATCACCATTAACTCTCACCTAGATGGCTGCGATAGTCTCCTAATTAGTCTCTGCTCTGAAATTCTTGTCTTGCTATAACCCACACTGTGTGTATTTTTTAAAGTTTCTTTTTTAATCAAGCCAAATTTTGATTACAAATTTAGCATAAGTTTGAATTGTAGAAGTACAGCTAATAGGCCAGGCACGGTGGCTCACGCCTGTAATCCTAGCACTCCGGGAGGCCGAGGTGGGTGGATTGTTTGAGCTCAGGAGTTCGAGACCAGCCTGAGCAAGAGCAAGACCCAATCTCTACTAAAAATAGAAAGAAATTAATTGGACAACTAAAAATATATAGAAAAAATTAGCCGGGCACAGTGGCGCATGCCTGTAGT